TCACGAGTATGAATCACTGTTCCCGAGGTCAAACTCTGATCTCCTCTGTTCAGATTGTGCGTCACTGAGTCGTGAACCTCTCCTCCAAAATTCAGCTCGATCGGACCACGGACGAAGCGGGATCGGAGCTTTGATCAAACCTTGGCAGAATGTGAAAAACTGCATTTTTCCTTCTCCACTTCCACAAAACGTGTGCTTTGTTTAAAAAAAACCCTACACAGACGTCTACCTTATACTTATAGAGTTTTCCTAAACCCTAGGTTCATTTAAGTCCAACTCACAATTCTAACCGGCCCATCCAATTAACGTAGAAACATACGACGGTTATAATATAAAACCCTAATTTATACTGTAATTAAAACCCTAGTTAGATGTATTTACCTAATTACCCTATTTACCATTAAATACTTAGCAAATAATCTAATTGAACAAAATAATAATTAGTATACCCAATTAAACCAAATAAGACTCACATAAAATAAGACACACATAGAATAATTAAACCAATTACACTTAAACCATTAATGCCAATTAAATAATTAAAACACTAACAAGTAATTCCAATCAAACAACTAAACCAATTACACTTAAACCATTAATGCCAATTAAATAATTAAAACACTAACAAGTAATTCCAATCAAATAACTAAAAATAAATATCATTTAAATAAATTAAATCACCACAAAAGAAAATAATTAAGCACCTAATAAATAAAATAAAATAAAGTAATAACACCTAATCAAATAAAATGCACTTAAATAATAAATTAAATACCATTAAATACCAGGAATATCCTTTTTAAAATTAGGGGTATTACACTGATCGACCCGTGTCTCGGATCCGAGGGGGATCACATCCTAAGAGATAACATCGACACCTCTAATACCACCATGACTATATCACGAAAAGATAAAAGAAAATGAGATGTAACGGTGCCTCCGTGACTTACGTCTCATCTCATCAGACGGATACTACAACTCTATACTCACCTGAGCCCTAATGAGAAGACTCTCCGTGAGTCAAGACTGTGATGTTATATGCGTGAAAAAAGAAATGAGATCAATAATAACATGAGTTATTATGATCGAATGCAACTCACACTATGAATACATCAAATAAATAACACGTCAATTTATGTAACATACAGTCATGCTAAAGCAATCAAAGAAAGTTGTTTAAAAGGCTAAATACTTAAGCAAATAAGCATACATGTCAAACAAAAATGCTTTTAAACACATACGCATATAAGCATAGAGACATGTCATAATACCAAACGTGTTATCAAGAAACCCTTGAACATGTTACAACACCAAAACATGCTACCAAAGGTATGTGAAGACATCAAAGTACATCAATAAAAGCATGATATGCACCCAAAGCCTGTCGTCCAAGGTATTCAAACCTAGAAGATCTGATACCACCTGTGACGGCCCTGGTTTTTGGGCCAGTACGTTCTGTGATGAACCGAACGTAGATCCGATAACGAATCCAGAATGTGGAAGTAAAAGATAAAACAACAGTCTTTAGAGATACAACACATCTCTAAGACACCAATGTGACACTCAATGAAATCACGGAACCCAAAGGAAACAAATGCAGAAGTAGAGTTTCAAAAACGGACGAGAATGAACCTAAGGGCAAAAAGGTCATTTACAAGATGAAAGTGGGTGCTACTGAGTACACCATTGGAAAGACAACAAAAAAATAATAAACTTAGACTCAAGAATCACTTGATTCGGAGTTTGGACGAAGAAGATATAGTTAACGGAAGGAAAAAGGGCAAAAAGGTAAAAAAAAAAAAAAAAGCCAACCTAAGAACATCTAACCGGTTACCAAACTTTCCTAACCGGTTAAGAGGCCAAAATTAATTACCACAACACTGCCCCAAGTCATCTAACCGGTTACGAGAATTCACTACTCGCACACTTGTACCAAAAGATAGCAAAAAGCTGACAGTAGGGGTTTTTCGGGAAAAAATGGATTTTTGAGGGCCAAGATGACAAAAAAATAAAACAAATATCTAATATGTCGTTCAACTGTTTTAGTTGACAAGACATGAATCCATGTAGAATTTAACTATTTTAGTTAATCCATTCTGTATGTATGAATAGGTAGGAATTAACGTTTTGATCTAATCTATCCCTAATATGCCACCGTCCCATACCGATGCATATAATGCACATGATCCATAAATGATGCCCACTCATTTAAACATCAAATACATCCAGAGACAAACATACCGTATGTATGAATAGGTAAGAATTAGCGTTTTGATCTAATCTATCCCTAATATGCCACCATCCCATACTGGTGCATATAATGCACATGATCCATAAATGATGCACACTCATTTAAACATCAAATACATTCAGAGACAAATATAATAGAAGTCAGATATATGCAAGATCCTATCATACATCCAGTATATGATTATAATCATATAACCTCCATTTAAATTGCTAGAGTAAAGATAAACAATTTAAATCATCCATATCCATATAATTAACATAACAGAAATTTTAATCGTTCATCAATTAAAATCCATAGCATGATATAATGATAATCAGAAATATAAACTGAGCACATTATATTAAAATTCCATAAATACATTTATACTAGTCTATTTAATTTGCTAAAACAAAACTAGCAGTTAAATCTTCCACAATCCTTAATAGCATACAAATTAATATATAAATTTCATAATATCCATTTAATCCTCAACTATAACTCCAGAGTAAGCATAGCTAAAGTTTGATATGTATCCTTTATCCGTTAATAGCATGCCAGATTGTTTAAACTTCCCTACTGTTAAATCTATTAGCATAAAAACATTAATTATGCTCTGTGGGTTCTAATATAATGTTTAGAGTCCTTACTATTCACCCAAAATAGTCCAGGAAAAATTAAACAGTTTAATCATTCCTATTCGTTAACAACATGCAAGATTGTTTAAACTTCCCTACTATTAAATCCATTAGTATAAAGACATTAATTATACAATGTGGGTTCTAATACAGCATAATATAATGTTTAGAGTCCTTACTAATCACCCAAAACAGTCCAAAAACTTCAAAAACCCAAAACTAGCCCTCAAACCACGTCCAGTATCAAGTTTAGCATGAGAGCATGCTCTCACAAGTTAAGAGCCTGCTCTCAACCATTGGGAGCCGGCTCCCACACCTTGGGAGCTGGCTCTGTGGTCTAGGGAGCCGGCTCCCTCAATCCATAGAGTCGGCTCTCCCTCTCACAGAGAACCGTTACCCATTCTGGTTCATCTTCTTCGCCTCTTACGACTTTACCGAACCTACTGTGATGTCTAATACAGTTCCTAGAGTTCAATTCATGTCCCACTAGTTCCAGAAACTCCTCAAATTCCAATATGAATTGTTAACAAGCTTTAAAACTTAATTGATAACAGTTTATGAACAAAATAGTTTCAGTTTAAACAAAACCACAATAGTTTACAGTTTAATTTAACATGCATAAAACATCCGTTTTAAAGTTTAATTTAATTCTTGGAGACTATAAAGCATGCACAGAACATAGGTTTAAGGGAAGGAGTTAGAATATAACTTGCCTTTAGTTTCAGTTTTGAAACCTTAAACCACCGTCTCTGAGTTCCGGCAAATCCCAAGACTATTCTCCTCCTCAGTTCACTGTTCTCCTCCTCTGTTGCCTCTTGGTTCAACCCATGAGCAACACCCTTTCCTTCCTCCTTGAACCTCTCTATGTTTCTCTCAAGTTTCTTTCTCTTTTCCTCCCAAATCCCCCTCTGTTTCTCTCTGCCTCATAGTACGTGAATAGGGTTTTAAAAACCCTTGGCAGACTCATAACTTATATTTATATAGGCGTCTATAAAACCTACTTCTAATTCCAACCCAATTATAAGTCGGCTAACATAGCTTCACAAAAAGAAAAACCCTAAACCTAAACTATATACGACACATATAAATTATAAACCAATTAAGTCCACCTAAGCATACACAGATTTAAAATAAATAAATAATATAAGCTAATAAATAAAACAAGTCAATTAATCAACAATTAACCAAATAATTAAATTAAACAATGAATTTAAATAAATACACAATTACAATTAAACAATTAATTTAAATAAACACACAATTAACCAATTAAGCAAATAATCAAATAATTCAATAAAAATGCAATAAAAGCATTAATTAAAATACCGAGACTATCCTTTTAAAATTAAAGGTATTACACATTTGGATAATTGGCGTGAAATTTGTCTCACGTACAACATCTAGATCAACTCCCTTTTTATATAACATGCATAGAAAAACAGCTCATTAAATTTATTAACGCATGTCACAATTACAATTCACTAAAATAAAAAGAGATTAGGGATTAATATGAATATACACTTGCTAGATTCACCACCAATGATTCGTCATAGGAAAATGGAGTTATGAATACTTCAGGTGACATTCTTCGTGGATCACCAATATTACTCTGCTAATAAATTTAAGTTACCATTATAGTTACTAAATAAAAATTATGAGTTATTTGATGACTTTAATTAGTTTAGATGACATCACATACCTGGTTAGTTAATAGAGTCATGGGTTAACCAAAATAAATAGTCAGACTGTTATCCAAATCCTAGCCTGTGTTGAACATGCTGGCATATAACATTTATTAAAGCAGAAAAACTCTACTGGTATTTCAGCACCCTTCACCAAAAATCATCAACTCATCAGTTAGGGTATAGATCGGGTAGGGGATATATAAAACATAAAACAAAACTCACATTGTTTAAAATATATAAAGGGGTTGCCCTACTACGACTGCAACCTGTCATTCCAACCACAACGGCCTTTCTCTTCTTCGAAGTGGCTCTCTCCAACACAGGTATTAGCCTACGTCTTCTCCCTTTGAATGTATCTTTCATGGCAATCCCTTTTGGAGTCAATCCTTCTATGTTTTTCATATAACTATTCAACTCTATATTTGTAATGTTGTTTGCAATGCCATTTGGTTATGCGGTTTGTTTACATGCAGGCCTAGGATTAGGTTCTGATCCTTGAGCAATTTTTTTCAAACTTATGACCTGTAGCAAAACATTATTGAATCCATCATCGCTCAGTGATGCAATGGCAAAAATTTCTGTTAGATAACGACAAAGGATTATGTGTCGTCGCCTCATTTCGAGTCTAGGATCCGTCGTTACATCAATGCCAAGTATATCTTCCACCTTGCCATCCTTGGCATTTCTGGTCCACCTTTTTAATATATATCGACTGGGTATTTCATTACCAGACATCACATCTTTAAAGACTTTAAGAGTGTGGTTGCACATGATACCCTCCATTTCAAATTTTCCATATGAACATGATAATAAGTCATCATGTGTCCTTATGACGAGCCAATGCAAGTTATTATTATAAACCGCAACTTCATAAACAAAACCCCTGTTACCATAATCGTTGCACTTATGGATATTTTCACTCATGCCAGCTACTATTAACTATTCCTAAAAAAAGGTTAAAGATGTTAGTAGTGTACAGACGTTCAACTTGATCTAAAATAGGAGACCTTGCTTTCAGCTTGGGCATCCTATGGAGCAAATCATACTCAGCTGCATACTCCTTGTATTGGTTGTCGAACAAGAGCATTTCAAAATGCTTGAAAAACTCTAGAAGTACATATTGTCTCGCTAAGTACTGTTTCAAGCGAGCATTGAAGCTCTCACTAAGTTGTGTAGTACGCATACTAGCCGACCACATATGTTTGACGTATGCCTTGGCCCATACATGTTTCAAATGAAATAAGTTGGCCAACCAGTTGTTATTCTCCACAGGAAATTCCTGTTCCATCAACGCCCATTCCACCATGAATTCTTCCTCATCCTCAATCTCATACATTAATTTTGATATCACACTTTTTATGCCTTTTCCACCAACAGACAAATTCCTAAGATGCTTTTGGGTATTTTGCATTATGTGCCATATACATAGAAGGTGTTTTGTGTCAGGCATAAGCTGGAATATTGCCTTTGCCATTGCAGCGTCTTGGTCAGTCAAAATCGTGGTTGGTGCTTTATTGGAAATAGCTTTCAAGAATGTATTGAATAACCAACCGAAAGAATCGGTTGTCTCATCGTACATGAAAGCTGCTCTAAACACAACTGTCTCTCAATGATTGTTCAAATCGAGAAAAACGGCAAAAGGTCAATTACCATGAACAATAATTTATTACTTTACAAAACTCAAACTCTTCCACCAATTTCAAAATATTTCAGTATTTATTTATTAATATAAAAAATATTAATTAATTAATATAAAAAGAGTTACAAAAAATTACAGATTTTTTGTATGGTTTATTGTTACAAGCTTCAAATCAACAATTAAAATATGTATATATATATATATATATATATATATGAAAACAAGAATTCTATAAGTTACAAAACATTCACGTGCCTTTTCCTAGTACTTGTATATGTATATCACATATACGCGTAAAATAAGGTACAATGTGGCGTATTGTCCTGTAATATGTTTCAAGGTTGAAATCCCTTAGGTTTCGTTTGGATAACCATGAGAAAAATAAATAAATAAGAGATAGATATATATTCATGTTTTGATAAATTATGAGGAAAAAGAAAACAAAAATGATAATATTCTTCTTTGGAAAACAATGAGGTATCTTTTCGTCCAAATCTTTTCATTTTTTTGGAGAATAGTACACGAGAGATTTGAAGGGATATATATCTCTCTAAATCTTTTCTTTTCTCTTGATTAAAAGGTACCTAAATATAATTTTTTAAAAACTTTCTTTTCTTTTATTTTCTATTCAAATCCCTCCAAATCACTCAATCCAAACGAAACATTAATTTATCTCACTAGTAACCCTTTTTACTCAACAAAATAACCTCATATATACAAGGTATTCCGTAATTTATTCCTGAACTACTCAAGTATCTAGAGGAGATCATTTTGACAAGGACAACTCCATCTTTAGAGTCCATTTATTTCACTGCTTTCGATCTCTCATTAGAGCTCTCATTTAATGTGATACCCCCTAATTTCAGAATACGGGTTGATCAAGTCCGCGCACAAAACCAGGGAATATCAAAACAATTGAAGTATTTCAAACAAGCACAGAGTACAAAAAGAAATAAAAAGAATAAATAACTCGCTGAAGGAAAATCTATTAAATAATAAATTTCATTAATAACTCTCTAATGGTTACCACTCGAGAATCCTATAACTAAAGGACTCCTTAGCCAAAATCCAATCCAGAAATTCATTAACAAATATTGAAGTAATAATATTCTACTTTGAAATAAAATAGAAAGAATGGATAAGTCCTCCAGTTGCGAATCCTCAACCTTGAGACTTGGACCTCTAGTAACCTGAAAAATAAATCATGGATTAAACCCTACGAGCAAGCTTTCTCTTCCAGGTCTCTGAAAACCAATAAGCAGATCATCTCTAATCAAAACTAAACCTAATAAAGTTTTTATCTTTAATATATAATGATACGCATATATATAAATAATTATATATAATACAAAAACCACAACTATTACTTGGTTCATTAATTTTCAAAACCCATAAACAATGGTTAAATATTAATCATACCAAGACCAATCAACTTTTTCTTTTAAAGAAAATTTCCTTAAACCTTATTTCCATCTTAAACGATTACTAAACCATTTAGATAATAAAATATAATTAAAGAAATAATACATTTAATTCAATCCCTAATAATAATTATAATTATTTAAATCACATATTCAAAATTCAAACTTTGACAAATAATCCATGTCTCCACCAATATTATTTTATTAATATATATAAAATAATATACTAACCTTTAAACACAAGATTATTCTAATATAAGAATATCTAACCCTAATCCAACTGATACATACAATAACCCTAGATGAAATCTTAATCATCTAACATATAACAATTTTATTACGCTTTGGTAAATTAATCATGTCATTATAAATATATTTATTTATATATTGGCAAATCAACCATACCTCATTAAGTATATATATTTATACATTGGCAATTCAACCATGCCTCTGTGTATGTATATTTATTTTTACATTGACAATTCAACCATGCCTCCACAAACATATATATTTATACTTTTAAACTAGCAACTCATCCATGCTTCCTATATATGTATTTTATTCATACAAATACTTAAGCAATATATTTACGCCTAAGACAACTCATCCATGCCTACAATTTAACCATGTACCAACTTTAGACTCAACGATAGTTAATTCCTACATAGACATCTCATGCAGATTATAAATATATCACTAATTTAATAACCAGCCTATCTAAATATATAAAATAAGAATAATAATAATCATCATCTTAAATAATATGTACATATATATGTATAATGTGACAACCCTAGATTTTTTTCAACCCAGTGTCCTGTGATGACCCGAACTGGATCCAAGATACGGAAGCTAGAAACAATACAACGGTCTCCCAAGGCATAATACACCTCTAAAACCCTAAGATGACCTTCCATGAGGTCAAGAAACCCAAAGGGATATGTGCGAAAGCAAAACAAAGACAAGTCCTAAGAGATGTACGTCATCCCTAGGGCATAGAATGAACTCTCAAAGAGTTTCGAGACTCAACAGAAGCAAAATGAAGAGGAGGGCATAAAAACCCTATAAGAGAAGAGCCAGGGGTAAAATGGTTATCTTACCCTAAGAGGAAGGAATTTAACTCTTAAAAAGTCAAATTAGATCTAAAACATCCTAAAACACCCTTTGGTAACTTCACATGAAGTCTCAAGGCCAAAGGAAGAGAAATCCCAGATGAACCCTATCCCGGTTCAAACTAAATCCGACACCCTCTCACTAAAACAAGGATATCTTGAGCTATACAAAAATTCTGAAACTAAAGCTAGTACCATTGGAAAGACAACAAAAAATTAATGAAGTTAGACTTAAGAATTACCTGATTCGGAGTCTGGACGGAAAAGATATCAAGTCCTGAAGTCGAAGGAAGGGAAACCCTATCCCGGTTCGAACCAAATTCTGACACTACCTTACTAAAACTTGAATATCTTGAGCTACAAGAGGAATATAAAGCTATAATTGGTACCATTGGAAAGTTCATTTCGACGCGGTTAATTTAGATTGAAGAACGAACCAATTCGGAGTTAAAACGAGTGAGATATGGCCCATTGAAGAAAGATGTCTGGAGCAAGAACTGTTCCCACGGGGACCCACCAAAAACCTGCGGGGGCCTGCCAAATGCGGCAGTAAGCCGCAGGCACCCGCTAAATGGCTGTGGGGGCCTGCCAAATGGGGCAGTGGCATGGGCTGGAACTAGACCTGTCAATGGATCGGATTCTGATCCGAATTCGATCCGATTATTCGGATATGGATTGAGTAAAATATCCGGTAATGATCCGAATCCAACAACCCGTTAACTTAACAAATCAGATATGGATTGGGTTGATCCGATCCGATTAAATATATATATATCAACATCATATTTTTAAAACTATAATAAAAATCAATAAATCAGAATGTTATACTTACAATAAAGTAGGTGTTCTCACCTAGTAAACCTTTCTCACCACATAATAGTAAACCTACTCATATCTATCAAACATTTTTGTGGTGTCATTTTTCTTCTATATTTTCTTTTTATTTCTCTATTACAAGCCCTAATTTATATCTTTCAAAGCAAAGTTATTTCAGATTTTCCTCTTCCCCCTTTCTCTCTATCCATGTTTGTGATGATTTTTTAGTTTCTTGTTATCGAATTCATTTATCTCTTTCCCTTTGTAACCTAGCTTTGGCTCAATTTGCTTGATTTGTTTGTGTAAATTGCAAAAGGGTAAAAACTCACAATCGGATCGGATTTATCGGATCGGACATTCGATAGAGTGAGTATCGGATTCGGATTGCTTATTTAAAAATCCGTAGGATTATCAGATCGGACCAGATCGATTATATTGCTTATCGGATTTGGATCAAATCGACCATGATCCGGTCCGTATCCGATCCATTGACAGGTCTAGCTGGAACCTCAAAAAATGCAGGAACAGTGATTTTTATAGATTTTTGAGTTTGGAGCACGGTTTACGGGGTTAATATGACATTTTTCGAAAAAACACGAAAAGGAAACTCCCCCTAAAATCACATTTTCTATGTGACAGAGTTGAGAACAGAATTTATTTTCAAAAGAAAATCCCCAAAATGCCCTTAGATCAGTTTAGGCTCAAAACGAAAAAATGTAATTTCGCACCAAACATATATCTGACCCTAAATGCACTTCTAGGCTGAAACGAATATGCACTCAAATGCAATAAATGATTTTGAGCGTGCGGGAATGGTTCGCGGCTCCCGGAAATGGCCGATACAAAATCTGACCCCCCGACAGTCAAAAAGGCGAAAATGAACTTGAAATGAAAATTTTGAAAACCAAAATTAACAAATGATTGGAAATTACCGTTTGGCCATTGGCCACACTTCATACATGATTAATGAATACTAATGGATGAATCTCATGCACAATACACACCCCGGTGCAAAATAACATACTAAAATGCAAAATTTTCATATATTCTCATTAAAGGGAAAATTTAACATCCATGACATATATGTGATTTCAAAAGAAGTTTGGCCCTTGGCCTCATGTCATATACATAAAATGAGAATCAAAAAGTGTGCTTAGGTACACACTACAAGTTTAGAATCAAATATACACATTTGATAAATAATGTTACAAATGGCATTCCAAGCCAACCTTCACAAAGATGGAAACCTCCAAGTCCACAAACCATCCAAGCATAATGAGAGTCTCAACTTTAATTCCTGTACCTGAAAAAATGTCCCCACAACGTGGGTGAGTAATATAAAGCTACTCGTAGGAGATGAGCATGCATCGACCTAACTTTTTACAATTTTATCACCTTAAGGTGAAACATGCTAAAGGGGCTCATGCCACCTAACGTCTATGTCAAAGTGTGACTCAGGGAGCATCCTAAGCTACCTAAGATCATTTCTAGCACAAATCACATCATTCATGCAATTCAAGTAACATAGGAGCATGCTATACAAAGCAACAAGATGTAGATTCTCAAGGTCACTAACTTGAAATCTAAAATG